ATTTTCAAGGCAAACCTAAAACGCAAGAAAATGATTGGGAATGGGAAAGAAAGTAGGTACAGCTAGTTAAAGCTATTTATTCTGATCGTTTTGGGCTGCAGTTCATTCGTCTGGATCTGCTGGCGACCCATTTAATACTGTTCTGCACATCTGACAGCAGGAAAACACCCCCCCCCCTACAAACATATGGCACTTCTGACATGCCCACCAAATTAGGTTTTTGTGCCGTTAATGGCAATTGTTTGACAGAGAAGCATATGGTCAAACAAAATAAAATGTTATTAGTCCTCACTGCAGCTTTGTACAAAAGCGTTTGTCTAAATCCGCATCATTTGTTCATTTTCTGGAACGACGAGACAAACTGCAACAACAGCCTCTCAAAATCCACCAGAATACTGACGTAAATCAGCCGGCAGAGCGGGGTGTCAATCCGTGCCATCAACTGTGACTGAAATTACAGTAAGACAGTTCACCGACGGTGGCAGGAAATGAAAATGACCATATACTTACTTAAGCCTCGTCACCATATGCCAGGGCTATAATGACAGACCGTTGTAAATGTGGTCCGGTGGATGGATAAAACGTGGTTTTACCAGACCACAGAGCAGTTTGTAAACTGCACCACAACACAAACACAGGACAGAAATTTGTATAGAGAGTGAAATACATGTCTGCTTCCACCAGGTGTAGAGTTTTTTCCCTCTATCTAATGCTGATTTATGCAGAGGTTTAATCCAGTCACTCATCCGTTTGGTATTACTCAACAACCTCAGCAGCTGTAGGTGAGTTCATAAGCTGCATTTCTGTTTCCCAAAATGGGGTCTGTGGATATTTGTAGGTTGAGAAGATTCCACATAGCCCCCATTTAAAAGAGCATTAAGCCATGACTTATGGTTTGTTTTATTGGAGTATCCTAGTTGTGTTTTAGCACATGTAAATATCTCACTCTGAGGCCAAATTTGGATAAGCCTTTATCATGGGTTTAAACAACCTGGGTATTGGAGCACTTTGATAAGAAACCAGCATACTGTGGCATTTAAAGACCTGATTACGGTTTCTGATCACTCTGTACAAAAACAAGTGGCTGAGAGAGATTATCAGAAATGTGGGCACAGTGACGATCAGGTACATGGTGATATGAATCACCAGGTTTCTTAAGCACACATCATAACCCAAATAAGACTTAAAAAAAGTAGGATACGACTCCAAACCAGGATAATAATGTGACTATAAACATTGTGAATGAGATCAATAGGGGAATATGTTATGATCACAGGGTACAAACACCCTACCTTCACCATAACCACTGCACTGCTCATTAAATGTTCTTCCACAAGCTTAAAAATTGAGTTTCTACTTTAATTTATATGCTTATTTGACTAATTTTGGCTGTTTGTTGCCTACGGTGTCAGATCACTTGTAAATCCCTATTACAGACTACTTCACTGTCTCTACAGGCTTGCTTAACTACAGACCTTTTATGTAACCACTTGGGCAGGTTGGAGCCCACATTAGGGCCAGTTACAACATAGATTTACAAAAGAAATAACAAAAATAACACACACACACACACACACACACACACACACACACATTAATCTGCTATGGTTGGAAACTGCTGCCCAAACAAAAACACAAAAGACCACACCACATATAAAAAAAAAAAAAAAAAAAAAAAACACAAATCAATTTACAAAATCAGCTGATAGGGAGAAGTTAAATCAATGATGTGTTAAAATAAATTGATTAACTTGGACAATTTGTATTAAATGTACCGATATTAGTCAGTTGGGTTTTTAAAAAAAACAACCGTTGGGCTGATAATTAGCCGTTGAGCTAGCTAACTAATAGACGTTGAAACAAGCGGTGCACTGCTAGCAGGCACGCGACGGCGGCCGTTGGAAAAACCCTTTTTTCAAAATAAAAAAAAATAAAAAAAAATAATAATCTTTATACTTTGATTAAATAACGCATTCATACATTCAAGCTGTGTTTGACGTTAAAAAAAAAATTAAAAAAAATAAATAAAACGGCTCCAGTTTAGCTTAAACCTTTAGCCGTTTTAGTGGACGGACATCATCACCTCACCTCATCTCACAAAAAAAAAAAAAAAAAAGAGGAGAGCAGCGGAGGGAGGGGAGGCTGCAGACAACACACAGCCGAGAAAAAGCACTCACCATCTGCGCTTCTGGTCTGCGACACACTGGCTGATAACACGGGGCTCTGTTCACTCAGTGGCTGGAGGTTGATATTGGCTCTCTCATCCACTTTTATGGGAGGCTTTTTGTTGCAGGCGCTGACCCCGGTGCCGGTGAGTTTCTAGCCTCCGCTCCGCTTCTCGTCTCGGTTTTTCACAGATCGGTTTTTTTTTTTTTTTTCCAGCAGCAGGATGTCGCACGCTATTGGTTCTCATCTGCTCCTGATGCATTGACGGGTCGTCGGACAAATCAGGACTTGCGAGTGGAAGAACGATGTCACTGTCGAGGCTTTTAGGAAAATTGATATTACCCCACTGCACTAATCTTTATTTAAAGAGGTTTTTAAAACCTGGCGTTGATTATAATTGTACCTTTTTTGTGGTTTGAGTGTTTTTCCTCTTTTTTTGTAACTGCACTCAGCTGCATTATTTTAGTGCTTTTATTCATATCCCTCCTAAAATTGTGCCATAAATATGTCTGAACACTACTATATTATAATTTTGGCTTAAAATAATACAATAGAATTCATTCATTTGATGCTTTATAATTACATTCATGTTTGGTGACTTAACAAAGTTCTGGGGTGGGTGGGGAGTAGAACAAGGATGATATAAGAGGCCAAGATCAATTGCATATTGATATATTGATATATTATATAAGATTACATGCACAGTAAAAGTCCTGCAAAATGTGACTTCAATTAAAAAGTCTTACTTGCTAAATGTAGACTGCTTAGAGTATCAGAAGTAAACTCCGGCTTTCCCTTTAGAGCTCCCTAATGTGACATTTGTCTTGCAGAACACACCACAGTTGGACATTATTTTAGCATTTTATTGTTATTCCTGGTCTTGGTGGAGCTCACTTGAACGGCAGCTTATACCATTGAGCAGTTAAATCTGTACCAGTGCATTATATGTTGTAAAGTTATAACGTTTTGAATGTAAAATCTCAATATGCAAAGTTACTAGTACCATAACTATGGCTGTGTTTTTTTAAAATTTGAATTATTTCCTCATGAAAGCAGCAGTGAAATGTAACAGAGTATATCTTGTCAGGCAGGCTACTGTACAATTAAAGTTACAATTTTGAGGTACCTGAATATTTCCATTTTCTGCTACTTTATACGTACACTGTACTAAAATACTGTACAAATTACATTTATTTCACAGCTGTAGTTATCACTTGGAAAAGTTTACACACAAAACATATGGTCTGCTTACAAAAATACAAAACGTGATAGTTAAAAACATGAAACATGTAACACTTCTGTCCAATAGGCCTACTTTCAAAATGAATCTAATTAAAGCGATCAGTAACGATTAACACATATTATCATGTTTATTGTTTATTCATTTATCAGGTATAATGTAAACGTTTGTAATATTAGGAATTAATAACAAACAAAAACAAAAACAACTGGTGGAGGTAACAGTTTAGATTCACTGCCTTCCAGTGGTCATAGAGAGGAACTACAATGTTTTTTAATTGTAATATAACCGTTATTAAGGTCAGTATGTACAACCTGTCATTATAGCAGACAACAACACCATTGGTATGGATAATAACTGTACAAATTATAGATTTATTTTAATCAGTTTTCTGACCTCGAAGCAGTTTTCTTTTTAAAGCTTTTTTTTAATCAACAATCGTAACAAACAGTAATAAATATTAGACATACTGTATATGTCAAGGGTTAAGAGGTATATAAAAATAAAAGCAGCTTTGACGACTATACAATTCAAATATGTTTAAGGCTTCGGGGTTTGTGTGGTGCTGAATAGGCTGTATGTGTTATTGCATTGAACTATAAATAACATTTTAGATAAATAAAAGTTTTCTGTTATAAATGAATGTGAAATTTGGTGTATCAAGTACCTGTCAGCATTTCTCACCAGCGTCGGGGGGTAGGACTGCATGATATGGTAAAAAAAAAAGTCAATTTGTGATTATTTAGAGAGAAAATGCGATTGCAATATGATACACAATTAGTGGGAATTTTCATTTTCACTGAAAACAATACTAAAATCATGATGATTCACTACTATTACTCATTTACTGTGGCGTACTGTGTATATATTGTCATATATTGTATATATTTTATTACTATAAAGGCACATGGTCTCTTTATTTTTTACTTATATATATATATTTATATATACATTTATATTCTATATAGATTTTGTTAGATATTGTAATATAAGTATTATTTCTATTCTGACATTGTGAGAGCACCTTGAGCAACTGTAACAAATTCCCCTCTGGGGATCAATAAAGTCATTCTGATTCTGATGTGACATTTGTTAGGGTCTATAGTACCCAAGAAACACGTTTTCTTACATCTGTGGAACAAGATTTAAGCATCTCTTCAGAGCTGCAATACTTTATTATGCTGCCGTTACATATTTTACCTTCATCAAACAAATTGCAGGTTCTTGAGATTTTGATTAATATTTTGATTTACTGTGCAGCCCTTGTCAGGGGCAAGATGTTTTTAATCAATTCTGCACTAAAGCCTGTACACGCAGCCTTATATGGCGATATTATAATAGTAATTTATTCTCCAAATTGAATCAAGACAATTTAGACAAAAATAGTTCTAATGCAACAAGGACTCCACTCTCTCCTGGAACAGTCGGGCTTGTGTTTTAAAGACAACATGCTGTTCTGTTGCTCTGCCTCATGAAGTGCACAAAATATGACAAAACAAAACAAAATCTACTAAATGTAACTGCCTTAAATACCAAATTGAATTATTTTTATGCATTCAGACGGTTTTACGGTCATAGAAAGCAGATACAAAAGTAGATGCCAAATGAGTATTTTTAATCAAAACTTCACATTTTCCATGTGTGAATGAACACTTGAAATTCCTCTCATACAAACAAATGCATTTTCTTGAAAAACATTTCAAAGCATAGAGACTAAATGCCAAGAAAAGGCACTTCACTAAAACTTGAATACAAGACACAAAAAAGCTATACAGTTTGACACGTACGTGTGACTGTGAGTCATCACAGTGCCTTCAAAAATGAAACAGTTAACTTTTGTAGATTAACAAAATTCAAACACACAAACACACTTGGCAAAGATCCAAAATAAGCGTTTGCAAGCACAAAAGCATGTTTGGAGTTCAGTGAGAGGAAACAAGACAACAACCAACACAACCTAACTTTGAATTGCTTACTGACAGCAGGATTCATTACAGCTCTATTGCTTGACCCTATTGACTTGACAATTACAACAGTCTTGAATGGTATATATGTACAGTGGCTGTCTCTGAGCTGCTTGTGTTGATCTGTCTGACACCCTCTGTTGAGCTCTGAGGTCGTAACCAACCTGACAGGAGCGTCGGTACACTTCATTCAAAGTCCACAAAATCCCCCCCTAACAGTCCTGTGCTTGTGTCAGCCTCTGATATGCTCTGCTATCTGCCTGCACAAGAGACAAGCTCATCATGGAGCAGTTGGTTGCACATATTATTCTACTGATGTGTTTTTCTTTAGTTGTCCCACCTGCTCTTTCTACGTTTCGGTGGTTCAGGGACAGCAAAGCTATCATCACCTCTCTCCCTCCCCTCCCCACTTCCCCTGTCTCCCCCGTCCCTCTCACTCCTCCGATCCTCTCTGTCCCTCCTGCTTCCATCTCCGTTACGACCATCGCTGTGGCGGCTGCCGCTGCCATAGCGATCCCGGTCCCCGTGGCGGTCACGATCTCTGTCTCCATGGCGATCCCGCTCTCCGTGGCGATCCTCTCCGCTGTGTCGATCACTCCTGTCGCTGTGGCGGTGGTAACTGTCACCGTGGCGCGGCCGGTCCTCCGCATGTCTCTCCCGTGAGCTGTCTCTCTGTGGGGGAGGAGCAGGTGGAGGGAAACTCTGCTGTGAACTGATCGGACTCGGGGGCACTGAGCTCAGGGAGCCAGCGCTGGTGAAGCCGGGCATTGACATAGTGATGCCCTGGGACCGCTCTGAACCGTTGGCGGCCTCCGTCGGCACAGAGCTCAGGCTGCCGGCACTTGTCCAGCATGATGAGCTGCTAGACTTGGTGCTGAGCTTTGGAGGGCCACTGGACGCAGCCACAAAGTGGCTCTTATACTGAGCCTAGAAGAAAAGCAGACATTGACAATAAGAGATTAGCTGTCTAGGGGGCAAAACAAGAAGTTTTTACACTGAAACTACAAATCTAACAGTATTTCTGACTAGATAAAGAAAAAAACAGATTACAACAACTTGGGCTGTCAAACATAACAAAAGTAACAAATGTATTTTAGTATCAATTTAAAATGTATGAATTTAAAGTTTAAAAAAACACAAGTTACACACATATGTAGAGTCTTACAAAGCACGACAATAGAATTGGAGCAAAAACATATGAAGACATTTAAAACAGAAATAGGCAGTGCAGAAGAAAAATAAAATAATACCAATAACAGTGGAATAAAGTTAAAAGATATATTAAGACACAATAATTAAGATGGGACAACAGGGAGAGATTTCTACCTGGAAGGCTTGTTTCATCGCAGACATGCGATCACCCATTGCCCCAGTGGCCGGTTTGCTGAAGCCTTCGTAGCCACTAGTGGAAGACATCAAGCTGCTACTACGTTCCTGCAGAGACAACAAAGTGTTACTCATATCTTTCTGAATTCTCTCCAAATATCACCATGAATCTCATCAATCTAAAACAAGTATCTTTGCCAACAGACAGCTTTTAATACTGTCAGAGAGAAGTTTACAGATGTAATCTGGAATTTATGTTATGGTGTTCATTTTACAGTGCATAAAAATGACTAATACCCACATTACAAAAAGAAAGCAGATTTACAAGGTAGTAATGAGTAACTCACAGAACTGTCAGCCCCCAGGCCTGGTCTCTCTTTGTAGCCGAGACCACCCCCACCAATATTCGGCTTCTTTCCTTTGCCACCCTTGAATCGGGATTTCCTGAACCAGGGATTCTGGGGAAAAAAGGTCAACAACAAAGTTAACAACATTCACTCCAAAAAACAAAAGGCCGATTTGCTCTACAGATTTTATTTTCTTTGAGACTTATGTATCTCACCTGCATGGCTAAATCCATCAGTTCTTTGGAAACGGCTTGATTAGCTCCCTCTAGATTTCTCACGAGGTCACCGGCGAATGTAGTGTCTTTGTTGGTGAGGAGAGTGTACGCCACACCCTTCTCTCCAGCACGACCAGTTCGACCAATCCTGTGTGTGTGTGTGTCGATGTCTCGTGCCACGTCATAGTTCACCACTGTGCGAATGGATGGGATGTCCAGACCACGAGCTGGGGAGGAATTAAAACATGTCATGTTAAAAGATGTTAAAGTTGATACTACAGTTTTGTTATTCAGCTCTCGGTGTAGCAGACTGAACTGTCACTTCACTGAGCAAATGTTTGAAATGGGACAGCAATACGGGAAGAAATGAGTAGAGGAAAACTCCCATCTCTATCACCACTTCCTCTTGCACTCACCAGCTACATCAGTGGCCACCAGAACAGGCAAATTCTTTTTCTTGAAGTCGCTGATAACCTTGTTCCTCTCGCTCTGGTCCATGTCTCCGTGCAGGAGGCCCAGGCTGTAGCCCTCCTGGGTCAGGTTAGTAGCAAGTTCCTCACAGTTTGCCTTCTTGGTGACGAAGATGAGAACTGAGCCGGAGGACGTGAACTCGACCAGCCGTCGGGTCAGCCAGCCCCATTTGTCCGTGGCACTGGGCAACATCTCCACCATCTGGGTCACATCCTCATTAGCCTGGTCGGAGAGAACAGCAATTAAAACATGGGATTTGCAATACTGACACCAAAAACATTCAACTTTTGCTGATGCAATAGCTTAAAGTAGTTTACCAGAAAATAGTTCAAAGCCAAACATTACTTTAAATTTGAAGTACTGTAACTGTATTTAAGATGTTTTTAGCCCTAAATTTGTTTTGAGACACACTGAAAAAGGAATAAATGAGCAGATTTGTCTCTTTGTGTAGCTAGAGCTCTAAACAAAAAAGTTTTTTGTTTGCAGATAACGTGTGGCGCTAGTTACCTCTCCGATGTCTCCCTGCACCACACGAATAGGATCTACCAAGATGTCTCTGGCAAGCCTCTCTATCTTCTTTCGGAAAGTAGCACTAAAGAGAAGTGCTGTGAAGGAAATCATATTGAGAATTATAAAAACACAAAATGGAACACTGGCTGTTAACTAAGAAAGAAATGAAACCAACTCACTCTGCCTGTCTGGGCGGACATGGCTAGCGATGGATCTAACCTGATATTCTGAAAGGGAAAAGAGAAATAAGCTGAAGTGCACAAAACAAGTTTAGAACATCTTTGATGCAGCACTCACGATGCCAACCCACCAAAGCCCATATCAAACATGCGGTCTGCCTCATCAAACACCAGGTATGTCACTCTCTGCAGGGACGTGGCCTTCTTTTTAACGTGGTCAATCAGACGACCCTGTGCAAACACACAAATGGGAAATGTCAGATTTCTTGCAGCAGTGGAGCGTGAATTCTCTTCTTAGAAGCCAGCTTGAAGTTAAAATTTGGTTGTGTTTTCTCTTACCGGAGTGCACACCACAATCTCTGCTCCCTCCTGTAGAGCTTTGGCCTGCTCCCACATGCTGCCTCCTCCATAAACTGCCACAGAACGCAATGAGTAGGCTTTCCCAAAACGCTTACATTCTGCATGGATCTGGAAAACATTAAAAATGACACACATTAGTACAATGTATTTTTAGTTAACACCACGCAAATATCTTTTATGCATTCACAAAGCCTGACTCAGTCCCTTCCCATTTCTTACCTGCTGACAAAGCTCTCTGGTGGGACACACAATGATCGCGATGGGCCCTTCTCCTGCTTCTAGTTCCTTTTGGTCCATGATGTGAACCAGCATGGGCCAGATAAAAGCTGCAGTTTTGCCGCTGCCAGTTTTTGCAATACCAATCATGTCACGTCCGGACAAAGCTATGGGCACACCCTAAAATCCAGATTGAGAGCAAAACAACGAGGAGCCTTCATGAAATCATTAAAGAAAAACAGTTAATTTTCAATAATATTGCAACCTTGAGATAAACTTGCACAATACCTGGCACTGAATTGGTGTGGGCTGAGTGTATTCTGACTTGCGGATTTGGTGCATTAACTGCTCGTCAAAGCTGAAATGGGCAAAGCTAGTACAGGGTTTTGGAGGGGCGGCACCAGATACCTGAGAAAAAAAACACATAGAAGAAGCAGAAAATCAAAACAATCATCATGACGACAACAACAGTTCACACACAATGAAGGCCTTTGTCTCCAAAAACTATTCACCCCAAAGTCACCACAGCTGGAAAAATATTACTAAAAACTGGTGTTTGAGTGACTGAAACATGTCTATGATTTCAGCAGTTAAACATTTATATACTAGCGTGCATGAATACCACACTTACCCTCAAGTTCAGTTTCTGCCTCAACTCCAATGCTTGAGTTCCAGTCAGGTTGCTGAGCTCCTCGTGCTCGTTGTAGAAGTTTTTCTCAAATGGTGGGTAATCAATCTATAAAAGAAAAAAAAAAAAAAAACATTTCAGCAAAATCTCTCATATTACACACTTTAAAGACATTAAATGTTGAATGTCTGTGTTGCTGTCTGTGTTCAATCAGTATTGCCAACTGCACCTCAGAGTGGTCGATGGGAGGAAGTGGTAGGATGATTTTCTTGGTGGTAGGGGCGATTGGGTTCCCGTCACTGTCATAATCAATGTTTTCATCCTCTTCCTCTTGGGTCAGCCCAGCTGTGGGATTCTCTGCCATGTAGCGGAAGTAGGCTTCCTGCAGAGAGCACAGCGTTTCATGTGAAAAACAGAGTCGGTTTGCGACGTACCACAGCCTCCAGCCACCAGTAACTCACAAATACCTGAGGAGACATTCAGCTTTATGACAGAAGGATTAAATTACAGTTCACAATTTGATATCAACTATTCTTGTCACTTGTCACATGACATAAATGAACAATTAAACATGCTTTTTTTTCACACTTTCTAAACAACATGAATAATCTACACAAAAAAAAAACAAAAAAACAATTCCATCATAATGATCCTAAATGCAACTTGCATGGTCAGATAGAGGAGAGGGCAGGGGGCTTTATAGGATTAGAGAGGATATTTCTAGGGAGTATTTGGTCTGGAGACCTCTCTGATCAACGATGTAGTGGATGAAGAACTGTGGAGGGCTCACTCACTTGTTCATCTTCTTCTTCAATGTCATCACGAATACCCCTGAAATGACAAGCGGAGAAAAAAAAAAACTTCCCTGCGGCTCGTTCATACACCCAAGACAGCCCACATCCCATTATGACTAAGGTCACTCTGCTTACCTCTGTATATTTATTAAGCCAGCAGAAACTTTGCTGGACGTGCAATTCTTTGTGCCAAAAATTTGGAGAAACTTAGTATATGATTTCTGCATAAAGCTACATTTCTATTGGTAGTTAAAACATTTGTAAAAGCAGTGAATTGTACAGGATTTAAATATTCAATTAACAGTATGTATGATTATCCCAGATTAGTTGTCTTATACTTTCACTCACAAATTATTAATTCAGTTGTGAGCAAATATTTCTCCTTCTGGTCAATTTTCAATTTAAGCACCTACATAAGGACCTTAGAAGTGACTGAAAATCAAATAAATGAAAACAATGTGAGCACATTTTAAGTCTTACTTGGCTGTGTTTTTCTCCTTTTCTTTTTCCTCTAATTTCCTCATGTCTTTAGCTGCTTGGTTCTGGAGAAGAAAAAAACATAGTTAGTGAAAACATCAGATTTCCTGGGTGTGCACATGTCTGTATATTGATTTATTTTATTACATTTATGTTATTCTACGGATTAAATTGAATGTTTCTACATGTGTAGCAAGAAGGAACGGTCAACTTTTATTTCCATTATTCCTTGTTTAAGTATTTGGAAGCATATTCTAGTTTGTTTCTTCTTAACTGCAAAGTCTCTTCTCACCTCAACCTCTGCCATGAAGGCATCCAGCGGATCATCTTCACTGTCTGAGCCGCCACCAGACTGCATCTGCTGCCGTGTGGGCGAGTTCTCGGCTGGGATGTAAGGCAGATCTACATTGCTGCTGGACTCCTCTTCGTCATCTTCAAAATACCTTGTTGAAGAGGACAAAGATGCAGTTTTAGAATTATTCAATAACCAGAAATAACAGTCTACTCGGATCGTTTTATCAGAGGTTGAACTGCACATGTGTGTAAGTGCGGTATATATATATATGTGTGAGTATGGGAGAGATGTAATACTCACGCATTTTCCTCATCAAAATTAGCTCTTTTTGTCCCTATTTTATAGAATGATGGGAGCTGCTGGTTTTTCCCATATCCCCCACTTGATCCCGGGCCTCCAAAAGACGTGTGAGATTTCGGAGGTTGTGGAGGTTCCTCTTTTTTTCCGGCGAGGGAAAATCCACCAAACCCAAACCCTCGCTTCACACCCGGACCACCTTTGTTCCAGTTCATGTCTGCGCTGTGAAAACAAGAGCGTAAACAAGTCTTTAAAGTGCTTAAATGTCTCTGTCATTACACCAACAATGCCATATGCACTTCTTAAATGAAGGTACTCCCAAGTAAAATGTGACTTGTCTGAATCATGGAAAACTAAACAAGAACCACTTATATGATGGATTCAGTAGAAACAAGAGATTTTTCCACAAGATTTAACAGTAGATGACTCACTTTGCAAGAAAACCAACAGAATAACCAACGTTACAGCATAATAATTGACAAGGACGTCCACCTATATAATATATACACAGTCGTAGCTACATAACATGACTGTTGCAATAACACAAGTGCATTAATTAGGCTTAATTAAAGTTGGGTTCTGCAGGAAAACAACGTTTTCACGGTGAGAAACTGACGTAACTACGTCAACATAAGGCTAGTTAGCCGTGTGCTAAGCACGGCGATGCAAACCAACCACAGCAGCGAGATTCAGCGGGTTGACTCCGGGAGGTTAAAGTTCGCCTCGAAGTCTTTAGATAACGACATAAAACAACGCAGGTCCCGATTCATCCAGGTGGTAAAAACACACAACATTAGCGTTATTCGTTATTAGCTCAAGGCCGCAAAACGAGGCCGATCTTCGGGGGAGGGCGGAGGGCGGAGGGGGGGGTGTGAACCAGGGTTTTCTGTTAATGTGGTTCAGTTCGCGTCGCTTTCACAAGTCCGAGACCAACGCGTTGTCCCGACCCGAGTGCGTCCGTCGTTGTGTAGCGGCTCTTTTACCTGTTTGTGACGCCAGCTGAAGCTCCAGTGTTGTTCACCTGGACCAGACGAGCTCGAGCGGTGCCTACGTCATGTGAGCGCGCGCGCTGCGTCGCTCCGTGGGTGCGTGTCGTCAGTGGTGATGGGAATTCCGGCTCTTTTTAGAGAATCGGTTCCTTTGGTTCGGTTCACTAAAAAAGAGTCGGCTCTTTCGGCTCCCAAGTGGCTCCTCGGATTTTTTTTTTTTTTTGTTGTTTAAATTAATTTATTACCTAATTATGTGTAAAATGAATATTTAATGTTTTTTTTTTAATTTATATGGATTTATTAATATACTCAACATGGAACAGAGGGCTACAAAAATAAATTATAAAATACAAAAACAAAGACCCATCTTAATTAGAGAAAAAGCTGCTCGATATGAAATGTTTAACTTTGCCTTTGAACCGTCTATCGCATTAAAATGTCCCTGTCACTCGTTCTCCTCACCTTTCCAGTGTTCCTTTAGTCCGGTCATTGCACGGTGTTGCTGTGCTGTGCGTGCAACACAATGTAAAGTTTTGTTTTCGAGCTGGTTTGCTAAATTGGCTAATGTAACTAACAATAACAGTAGCCCGCCACTGCCCCTGGTGGCTCGAGACAAACGCCACAGCACTTGTTGAAATTGAAATAGGCAAAAAATGGCAAAATATTATTGAAATGTAAGACTTGCAATAACGGAATTACTTGAAATGTTAAGTGTTTCTGTAGAAAAACATGTTATTATTTCACGTTGAGCTTGTTCAGAAGAGCCACAAGCAATAACAACACAGCTGCTTGCACTTCTTTCCGACTCGTAATGCCCAAAGACAAACTGGAACGCTGTAAGTGGTACGAGCCGGGCGACGACGTCACGTTCTCGCGGCAGAACGACTCGGGCTCCGAGTTCACGAGACAAATGGATAGCACCATAACGCTGCCACACATTTTGACCAATCACGCGGCTTTAACAGAAAAAAAACAGGGGGAAAAAAACCCGGATCCGGATCCCGTCGTTCACTTCAAAGATCCGACTCTTAGAGCCGGATCGTTCGCGACCGACCCATCACCAGTCGTCAGTTCGTGCGCGACACAACCGAGAAAGCGTAGTGGAGAGAGAGCTGCCCAAAAAAACATCCAACACAGAGGATGGCTTGCTAGATAAGTTCTCCTAAAACATATTGTCGCTCCAACCAGGCATTGCCCGTCCAAACGTCGAACAGGTGAGTTATTAAAACGGTAAAATAAAGCTGAACTCAGTCAACGTAGCCGCTGGAGCTAACGGTAATTTTACTATCGCTAGCTTTCGCCCTCCATCATGGCAACATCAGCGACTCTTAACGTGAGTTCAGCTCCGTTTGTGACCCATCTGCTGTAAATGAGTGGGTTTATTTTTCTTCCTTTGTCTGTTCAGATTGCTCTGTTTGCTGTGGTTGGAGGTCATTATCTCTGTTTATATATATATAAGCGCCATTATGTGTTCATTCAGTAGATATCCTCACTGAGCGATCACGTTGCTCTGCAAAAAACAAGGTTTATTAATAACTTTTAATTGGTGGTAACGTGTATGCATAACGTACAATATAGGCAAGACTCGTTAATATGTTTGGTTGTGGGCCAAAACATACATCATTTCACACGATATCAGTGAAACCATCAAGTTTATGTTCTGCAGATGTTGGCTATTTTTTTTTTTCCAGATGTTATATGTATTCTGTGATAGACTTTAAAGTGTGGTAAGGATAATAGCTCCTATAGGCAAAAGCTGATTCAACTGAGGTTAATCCTCAGCTGATTCATTCATATTATCCACAGGGTAGATAAAGTTATTCAGTCATCTTTGTTTGTGACTGACTCAGGAGGCCGTGTACACTCACATCCAAACTGAGACTCCAAATATGATATTACACTGTTGTCTTTGTTAGGCACTGAATAAGAGCCTAGTATTCAGTATCAGTAGGGTGTTTAGTGGAGTGGTGTGACTATAATTCACTGATTATTAATACAAGAAATACACAAAGACACACTTTCTGCTCTTCCAGTGAACTCCTATCTTCCACCAGTTACTGTCCATAACTCACTCATGTAAATATTGAGACATCCACGGACGCTATTCGAGTTTTTAAGGTGAAACAACGTATTTAGTTTCTTAGGAGACAGATTGTGTTATTGTAATGTAATGCATAATGGAGTACAGTTAGTATCTCAAGCGCTTGAATCAAACTGCGTATACTAAAAAGAAAGGTTAGTCTCTGGTTGGTAATATTACATCAGACCCTTTATCAGCTTTTGCCATCAAACAGAAGATTTCTTGTTCTACAGGCTAGACTGAAGAGTCTTTTGTTTGTTAGTTAAATCAACATTTCTCCCCAGCAGGAGCAGCAGACCCAACAGAGACATCTTCTTCACAGTTTTCTCACTTGTCTTCACAGGTATTCCCTGGATGTGTTTTCAGCGTTTCATATGTAACACACTAAAGAGGATCCATGTCTTTTCTTGTAAGTGTTTGCCACGTACCTCCTATTTTAGACATAGATTTACACGGCCAATTTCCTAGACAAGGATTAAATGTAATCCTAGATTTAGCTTTAAATCTACAGTACTCATGGGCTTTTAATTGATATTTCTTTTGGTCTAGAAGAAGACTTAATCCCTGTAAGGCACTCAGACTAGGACCATGTCTGTGATAGCTTTCATTGCAAACAGCCAGACACTATTTTTATCATAAGACAATAATGAATAGTCATATGTATGAAGTTCACCCAGCCCTACTTACAGAGAAGAAAGGCTTTTTTAAATTGAGCTTTCTATTTCTTTCTCTTTCACACAAAAAGACAGAAAACTGTTGCTGCACATTTTGAAGTCAGCACGAACCATCTTTATTCAACTGCTTTAAATATGTTTGTGTTTCTCTGGAACAGTTTTCTTATTCTTGCTTGCTTTTTCTCCCCCTTTTCTCCCCCTTTTTCTCCCCTTTTCTCCATGTCCCGTCATTAACTCTCTGTGTCTGTCAGCGTTGGGTATCTGAGAAATTGAGTGTGGAGAGCCTGCGGGATTTGGAGTTATTTGGAGGTGAGATAAAAGGCAAATTGAGATACAACAAAAGGGTTCAACATTCCCAAAACCACTGCTTCCACATTAGGCCCTTCATCAGCACAAACAGGAAACAACTGTCTGTTCTAGTTGTAGCTTTGCTTTAAGTGAGTGGTTGCTTTGCTCTGCCTCACAGATGTCAGTCTTAAATCCAGTCAATCAGTCATCTATACGTTTCTTGCGTATAGATGACTGCCTCATTGCTTCTTTTTGCTACAATAATTTATCAGAGGATGGCAAAAAAGAAAATCACTCTTTAGTAATGTCTCACATGGTCTGTGCCATTTTATTTAATGCTTCTTGTGTGTTTATCTTGCTTCTAAAAAGGTTGC